GGCATGAAGGCCATGTGCGGGCACATGGAATGGTCACTGCAGCGCACATTAGTGAGGTTATGCATCTGATCCGCCAATTCACGAACAAATTTGTTCGGAACCCTTGACCCATCAGGGTATAATGGCGGGTTCATCTGCGCTGGTGGTGGCCTCTGGCCCTGAGACATGCTCGGATGGGCATTGAACACCGGGATAAAGGCTCGCTGCCGAGCAGGATCCCGTGGGTTGGGACCCTCAGGCTCCCAGGACCAGGCTGGCCTCCACCTCTGTCCACTTGGGTGAGGCAGATTATGGCTCTGCACCTGCTGCACCGCGGCCGCCACTCTTGAGCGATAGTCGTCACGTACACCCGCCCTGAGGTGGCTTGGTGTGCCAGGCAGGTTTCCCTGCTGACTCGTTGGCGTGCCGGGCGGCATCATGTTGAGGAGGGCTGTGCTGTGTTCAGCCCTAGCCGCAGCTATCCTCTCCATGAGAGTGCCGTTTGTGGCAGGGCGGACAGGTGTCCCGAATGGGGATTGTGCCGGTGGTGTGCCCAATGGAGTCATGCCCCTTGGAGTGTGCATGCTCTGAGTAGGGCTTCCATGCATTGGTTCAAACCGAGCAGGTCCGCTTGTAGGCAGGTTTCCCTGCATGGCCTGGCGATTTCTCGTAGCCATAGCGGACATTGCTCCCTGGCCTGCGGCCCAGGGATCCTGCTGGTATAACCTGTCCGCCAGCTGTTCTACCTGGTCAGGGTTCAGCGCGGCTGCGATCTGATCCAGGTCCGAGGTACTGATGGCCTGCCAAGACACGGCACTAAGCCCTTGGCTTGGGGCACGGCTTGGAGCCGCGCTCCCGGCCTCACTCTCGGTAATCATGAAGATCCGATAGATCTCAGGCTGGTTTCCCAGCTGGGTAGGGCTGTAGTGGTCCCCAACTTCCCTGTGGAGGTAGCCCATAGGGGGGTCAACGCCCCCTTGGTCTCGGGACCACTGGTACCTAACGCTGGAAGTACCAACGTCAGCCCACCTGTCAGGAGCAGACATCGTTGCGACAGAGACTCGCGCATGGCGGCTCCCCAGATACTCTGGATTACGCCATTGCCTTCCTGTGGACAGGTCCTCTACATGAGAGATGTAATACGGTTCAATGATACCGTTATCTCCCTCGGACAAGAGGACTCCGTTATCGGACCAACAGAACTTCATACCATCTTGTATGGCCTTACGCCAATCTACGAAGATGATGATGTCTGAGTCTGGGTCCCACCCACTGTTCACGGCACGGCGGCGAACTGTCGGCACGAAGTGAATGTGCGACCGGCCTGTCCCCTTTTTCTTCGTGTTATGCTCAGGTCTACAGGACAGGCCGTGCCACATAATCCCTTCGAAGGCGTGCCATCGAGTGCCATGCATAGCAACATCGGGGCATGGGGCCGGTCTCCCGGCAGGTTGGTCGCACAGCACAATGTAGCTGTACAGCGACCATGGAGCTTTCAATTCCCATGAATGCCCCTGAGAGGCGCGGACGAAGATAGCAGGCTCTCCGGAGTCCCGCATCAACACCTTGAACTGTAGGCGCTGGTTGTCTTCTCCGTCTGGTTCACGGACATGAACAACTGCCATCATGATGGCTGCTAGTTGGTCAACCGAGCGCCTACATAGATGCTCGTTGATGATCTTGGCCTCGTCATATCTTGGATTATACCCAGCGTGTCTTGATTGACCTGTGTTCCACGGATAACGGTCCACGATTTCCACTAGGTTAACCCAACCATCATGATCATCGAAAGATTCCAAGCGCCACACAGGATTGTGTTGCTTGTCTGGCGAATGTCTGCATATCCTGCTGAGAGCTTTGCTCAGCTGTTTGAGAATATCATTGGATGTGGGAAGGATTCCAGCTTTCCTGCATTCCTTCATGAATGTCTCATCCACCGAGCGTATCGGTGGGAGCTTCCGAAGCGCAAGTCTATCCCTGATCACATTTGGAGTCCCACTAGTGAAGGACGTGTCACCTGGGTGGTGCAGCTGAACCACTGGCGGGTTTCCCCGCATCGGAACCTCTGTTGCTGAAGAGGCTGCGGCTCCAGAAGAGGAGGAAGCTGCGGCGGCAGCGCCTGGCGGGTTTCCCCGCGGAGATGCGCGACTGGCGCTGCCCCTGATCTTCGGCGCCCAGGTACCCCTCGACATAGCACCTTCATCGGACCTCCTGGAACGAGCCGCCACAGGCGAAGCTGGCGCAGGTGCATACCCACTGCGCTCGAAAGCTGCCGCCTTTTTCGCAATGGAGCTGCTGCGACTAGGCGGGCGTCTTCGTTCCTCCATAGGGTCCTGAGGTTGCTGCTTGGGCACAGACGCTTGTGTAGGAGTTGCGCCAATCGGCGGCCTCGGAGTTTCAGTTCGAGGCACCTCCATCTGCACGTCTGGCCCAGGGTCCTGAGGGCTCGTCTTCGGTTTCGGCACCGAGGACGGCTTAGGTGTCGGGGATTCACTCTTGGCCTTCGAAGTTAGTGGGAGTGGGGGCCTCGTAGCCCTCTTCATGTAGATCTTACTAGAATCCTCCAACATCTTGCGAGTTGCCTCGCGAGTGCGGTCTTCTGCTGTCCGCATACGCTCCTCGTCCTCCGCCACACGTTGAGCCTTTTTCTCATCCTTGATTGTCGGTTCTGGTTGTTGGGACTGGCTAGAGACGCCAGGCGAGTTTCCTCGCATACTAGGAAGACTGAAGAGCGCGTCTTTCTCTTCCTGGGTCATGGCTACCAGTCCCCTTGGAACCGGGGTAGGCTTTTCTTCTTCTTTCGGATCCAAGTGGCTCAAGATCCCGAGACGACGATTCACTTCTGCAATCTCTTCCTGTGTCATCGGGATAAGTTGCGGATGGCCCTCTTTATGAGGGGTTTTGCCCCTGTTGGGGCTCAGGCCTTCGTTGTTGCCAACGGGGCATCCTGGCCTGTGGTTCTGGAACGGCTGGGAACAAGGTCCGCATGCTGCGTGAGGCCTATACTGCTTGCGCGCCGCGATAATATCTCGCAACTGAGCCCGCGCTTCTTGAATTTCAGGGCGGCGGATATTTGCTGCAAGCTGATAGCCTCCGCGGATGGCCTTGCCATCACTGTCCCTATAGGCAGGGTTGCCCTTGCCGAAGGCCGAGTGTTCCCCTTTTCGGCGTCTTGGGTCGTTGTACGGAAGTAGCTGGCCACCTCTCCTGAGAGCGTGTTCTTTTGGGCCAGCCTGCCTCCACTCACGAGGAAGTCGAGCCTGTGGATGTGGCTCTTCTCTGACGCGCGTATGGGAACGAGATCTTCTGGTGTTCCCATCAGAGGAAGCTGCCGAAGCAGCAGGAGCGGCACCCGGTGGAGGTGCCTGAGGAGGCTCCTGTGCGATCCCAGATGGATCGTCCGATGGAGGCAGGTCTCCCTGCTGGGTGGAGCTCGGCGCAAATGGCGCTTGTGCCGATGGTGATGATGATTCAAACTCATCAGGATCGAAGTCAACCTCTTCCTCACCATTCACGTCCATCATGAGGATGGTGACGTCATCCTCATCTAACCCGCAACCATCGCCTTCTACTTCTTCTGATGTCGAACTACCGATGATGATGGCCATTGGCGTATCTGATACAGGCAGGTTTCCCTGCATAGCCGGCGTCTGCGCGTCGCTCGGCTGTCCCGGAGTAGGAGGCACTGTTGTCGGCTCAGGCTCGTTGCCGAGCACAGGCTGCCCAGCAATGTTGCGCATGGCCGTATGGTTTGGCCTCATTCCCACCGCCTGGAGACCCCATCCTGGCGGAGGAAGATCATGACCGCGCATAGCAATAGCCATTTCTAGAGCATTACGCCATCTACCACGGGAGTGTATCAAGTGTCTCTGCACGTCCTGAGGATGCACGCTGTCAATAAGAGTCAGAGCTGCCAACAACAGCTCTGAGCTACCGCAAGCATCAGTATCCTGTTCTGTCATAATGTCAGCTTCGATATGTTCTTGACTCTCAGGATAACCAGTAACAAGTATCTCATGCATCCTCATGAGGGTCTGCAAAAGAGTGCGTGGTCCATATTCGCCTGGAGCAAGCGAACCAGGAGGTATGAACGGAGTATCTGGTTCGCCTGCAATGAAGGCCTGAACAAATGCCTGAGACTCCATTTCAATTAAGTCTTCAGTGGTCTGGGGGTATTCTCCCATCAAAGACGGCCTGTTTCCAAGCGGGAGTTCGGGCGGAGGTTCGAGGTTCCGTTGAACCTCGGAAGGCGAAGCCTCTATAGTGGTGTCCTCGTCGTCGCTCTCGTAGGCCATGATGTTGCCTGGGTTCCCGAACATCCAGTCGAAGAAAGAAAGAGGCTGGTTTCCCAGCGTACCGTGGTCCACGGGAGTGAGCTCGTTACTGCCCATAACGAACCGGCGGACGTACTCGAGGTAGTACGCGTACAATCCATGACCATACGCCTCGAGCTCGTCGACGTTGTCCATGCCAACAACCCAAGTGAAAAATATCTGCACCCCCATAAGGCCAGACGCTCTCGCCCAGACGTGCACAAAACAGCGTAGCTGCTTGATGTGAATGGACTCAGCTTTTCATACACCTCTGACGCTCTAGTCCATTGAGCTCAGGCCTGCAGCACATGAAGACACGATCATCTCTGAGACGGGTCGCTTTGCCCGTCTATGCCCTGCGGGAAAATGCAACAAATTGCGAGCGACGTGCGAAAAGAAGCTCGAGGGTGGCAGTGGGCGGGTGGACTTGAGCCGCCGCGATGCGGAGCACGCGAAGGCAGTCATTTGACCTGGCGGGCGAGAAAAGGCCAAGGGGTATTCACGTCTACGACTAAACACACCCCCATAAGGCCAGACGCTCTCGCCCAGACGTGCACAAAACAGCGTAGCTGCTTGATGTGAATGGACTCAGCTTTTCATACACCTCTGACGCTATAGTCCATTGAGCTCAGGCCTGCAGCACATGAAGACACGATCATCTCTGAGACGGGTCGCTTTGCCCATACCCGTAACATGAACTGGTAGCCTTCAGCGCTTACGAAGGTGATCCAAGAGGAGCTGCGGCAGCCGCTTGCTTCTGCTCGCCGCCATCCTCTGCTTCTGCTGTGGGATCTTCCGCAGCTGCTGGAGGATGAGGGCGCCCTTCTCGTAGCGGGCTACCGAAGCGGACGATGCCCATCGGCCGCGCTTCTGAACCTCCTTGAGGGTCCTCCTGTTGTGCGCCTTGTCGTTCGAGGCACCTGAGTGCCGGAAGACGTGGGGGCACACGCCGAGGGACGAGTAGCCCAGGCGGTCGGCACTCTTCTTCACCTCGCGCTCGTACTTTGCCAGGGAGAAGTCGAAGAGCCTGAGGGAGTCCGGCGCCATGGGCTGATGGAGGAGGCGCAGCACGTTCGTCAGCCAGGGGCGCGCCACGTCGCCGACCAGCAGGCTGTCGTCCTGGCCCCCGGTCTTCGTGACCTCGTGCCACTCCGAGGGCGCGATCACGACGCCATAGTGCGCGCCGAGCTTCGCGGCTGGCGCGGGAGGCAGGATCTGGCCCTGCCTGAGCTCGACTATCTCCGAGGGCCTCAGGTAGGCGTCCGTCTGCAGCTCCACCGCGGCGCCCATCAGGGGCAGGTCGTGCTCCGCCAGGTCCATCGCGATGTCGTCCACGATGATGTCGGGCAGCGGCAGGCGCATCCGGCCTGGTGAGCGCTTCACCCAACCCTTCAGCGAGGCCAGCGCCTTTGGGAGGTCCACCTTCCCCGTCGTCTTGAGCCGCAGCAGCCTGTAGCCGTACAAGGTGTTGCGGCCCTCCCAAACGCCGAAGCCGTCGTCGTACAGGTCCACGAAGTACTGAGCTAGGCTGTCGTCCAGGCGGCTCAGCGGCTGCAGGTCGAGCTTCTTGGTCTTCGCGTAGACCTCGAACTCCTGCACCGCGGCCGCGTACCGCTCGAGCGTCGCGTTCGTGACCGTGGCCATGAGCAGCGCCTCGCGCCTTGGGACGCGAATCGCCCCCACTCGGCGCGGCGCCGACGGCTGGCGCGGGCGGCCCTTGCCCGGCGGCCGCTGCCTGCCAGTGCGGGTGGGCCCTCCAGTGTCGAGGGAGCTCGTCCTGACCGAACTGGATGACGGGGTCCCCGCCGAGGTACGCGTCGGCGGCCTGGCAGCAGACCTCGGGGCGGGCGCCGTCCTCACAGCGAAGCGCCTGTCCTCTAGCCTTTGGCTGACGGCCCGCGGCCTGGAGGAGGCCATTGCGGATCTCGCGAGGGTCGAAGCTCCGCGCGCTTGCAAGCGCCTCTCTGGGAAGCGCAGCAGCCAGGAGGCTTGCCCAGCATGAGCCCAATGCGAACGGATAGGTGGCAGCCCGAGATGTAAGGTGCCCGTGCAACATGACGGCGTGCTTGTGCGGTATGCGAGGTCGATCACCCAAGGCCCTCAGGGCCTCCACATTCGTGAGTAGGCGAGTCGGTTTCCGATAAGCTGTGCCGTACATGCTCATATCGAAGTGAACCTCTGTGACCTTCGCGAGTCCACGAAGTCGAGCGATGGGGTCAAGTTCCATAACCTCGAGGTCCTCGGATTCTCCACGCTCCAGTAACGCCCACGACGAGAAAGTATATGACACAACGTGGCCGTAAAGAGCGCGAACTCAACTCCAAGGCGTTCCCTAGCTCGAGCTCGTACGTGGTTCTTAACCCCCCGGCGCGCGATACTCCGGACTTGACAAGGTGTCCCAAGATGCACATACATCAGACGGCCTCTGCGGGCCAAATCCAGGATAAACTGCTGCGTGCTCCGTCGAGACAAGTCAAACTCACAACCATTTTTGATGTCCACGGGGTCTGCAAAAGGGAGTCCAATCTTCCTGCAGGCTCGAGTCAACTGCCCGACGCCACCGAATAACTCCAGACAAAAAACTGATTGACCAGGCTCGTTCCGAATTGTAGAACAACAGAGAGACGATGAAGACGAAGAGGCGGGGGAAGGCGCCGATGACCGATGTGGCAAGGGAGAGGATGGTTCAGTACGCTCTCCCTCGCAAGTACCTGCCCCGGAACGGGCTGCGGGCTCATCGGATTGCCCGATGTCCGCGCTGCTGACGCCTCGCTGGCGGCCGAGCTCGGCGGGGGCGTCCCGCGCCGCCAGAGGCTGCTGCCGCCCCGGGGCAGGGCTCGGCGGCCCAGGCTTCCTGGCCTCCCCCTGGCGCGAGCTGGGCCCCTTGATGTCCACCTGGCTCGAGTCGAAGTCGCCGAGATGCGATTGTGCGTTTCGACCCGCAAAAAACGGGGTCCGGCCCAAAATGGTCGCATCGGTCACTGCAGGCCATTTTGGGGCCGACACTATTATTTCACGAGGATGATGGGCCGGCGCCACCGCAGCTGCCGCGGGCGTCTGCTCCCGCGTCGGGCCCTGCGAGGCGGGCCGCTTGGCATCCCACCGGCGCGAGTCGAAGTCGCTCGGGTTCCGATCCGTCTCGATGTAGCGGAGCCGCCACGTGATCTGGCCCCCCAGGCGGTAGGCGGCCGCGCGCCGGCACAGTGCCTGCAGGCCCGCGCTAGAGCGGCCCTTCTCGAAGGCCCCCACGGTGACCTGGCTGTCGCTGAGCGTGAGCAGCTTCGAGCCCAGGAACCTGACAGAGCGGCAGTGCCGTCGCAGCCCCATCAGGGCCACCCGCGCCTCCTTCAGGTTGATGTGCTCGTCCTGCCAGCGCCAGCGGTCGGCAGCCACCAGGTGGTAGCGCCGACGTTTAGTCCAGCCGTCAGCCACAGCGGGGATCCCCGAGTCGAGCGCCACCCTGACGCGAGCCCCCTTGGCGGGCGCAGCTGGCGCCGCCGGCCTGGGTCGCGCCTCGGCCCTGCTCCGGAGGTCCTGGCCGAAGGCGGTCTGCGGGCCTGCCGCCGTCCTAGGGGCGTCGCCCCGCACGTAGTTGAGGCCCTCGCTCACCTGGCCCTCCAGCAGCGGGACGTCCCGGTACCGCCAGCGTTCGCGCCACCTCCAGGCCTCGCGGATCTCCTCGGGCTCACCCTTGGTTACGTGCAGCGCGTAGCCGCGGCTCGAGGAGTCCCCGCAGTAGACCTGGTCGGAGTAGTTGGCGCCAAGGTCGACCTCCATCAGGAACAAGAGATTCATGGCGCATCGAATCTCCGACTTCACGGACGGCCACACCCGCTTCGGCGCCTCCAAGGACTCCTCAATGAAGCGGTAACACGCGTTCAAGGCGGACATCGCCTCGGGGCAGAGCTGGTTCAAGTTGACCACGTGGCCGAGCCAGCACTGCAGAGCATGTCCGTGTAGCTTACGACGTCGTAGAAGGGCATGGCCGGCCAAGTATGTCCGCCAGACACGCCGGGCGACGTGACGTAGTCGCCGTTCTCGCCAATGGTAAACCAAGCCAAGCGTCTGCATCTCAAAACCGCCCCCTGGCTCGACGTCAAAGGGTATGTTGTCTTCCTTGAAGCTCTTCTCAATCTCTGTCATCTGTTTCACTGCGTCGGCCCCGCAGCCTCCGATCACCTGTACGTTGTCCACGTACACGCCTGTCACGCACTTGCCAGGCTTCAAAACTGGTGCGGGCTGCATCTCGCGCATGATCTGGTCGGCGCCGTCCTCGAGCGTCTTCTCCACCCGGTAGGTGACGGCCTCGTTGGCGAAGTACAACGCCCAAGACCAGCCCATGCACACGGCGGCCATGCAGGGGTAGAGCAACTCCCCGTCCTCGACCTGGGTCTCGGCCCCCTCGGCGTCGTCCCAGATCGTGGCCGGTCGGCAGCCCATGCTCTCCAGCTCGTTCGTGTCGAAGCGGTCCTCGAAGCCAAACCAGGAGGCGAGCTCGGGGATCGTGAAATTGTAAAAGCAGTCCCCGACGTCGCCCTCCAGCCCGGCAGGACTGGCGGCTGTCCCGGAGCCCACTCCACCGAAGCCCGAAGCCTTCAGGCGAGGGTCGGAGAGGTCCAGGTCGGCCATGCACCTCGAAGAGCCAAGTCGCGTGGTGGGCGGTAGCCGATGCGCTCTGTTCGCCGCTCGGGCGTCGATGATCAGTCTCTGAAGCCCATCCTTTTTCTTGACCACGAAGATGCCCGCGCGCCCCTTCAGCCGCCGGCGCCAGGTCAGCAGGCCCTGCTGGCTCAAGCGCTGATACAACTGCTTCCGGAGGTCTCGCGAGCGCCGAAGACGGGGGTCCCAGTAAGGCGAGAAACCCACTCCTTCAGCTCGGTCCTTCTCAAGCTCCGCTTCGTCCCTCTCGATCAGATCGGACGCGCGCCTGATGTAGCCAAGCGCTGCGGGAGGGAGCTCGCGCCGAATAGGTCGAACGTGGACCCTCCTGTGCAGGATCTTGACCTTGTCGAAGTCGAAGCTGGCCAAGTTCTTGGGCTCCATGCCGTAGTGGTCTCGTGAGTCGAGGATCTCCGACAAGGATGATTCCTCTGTAAGGTCAGTCGGGCGAGCCCCATATGCCTCAACCCGCCGTGCAACGTTCTGGAGCATCCATCGCTGCACAGCGGTGGGCCGGAGGTGGCCCTCAGGTGGTAGGTCATGCCCCTGAGCACGACGTGAATTCAGGTTGGCGGCAGCAAGCTGGTTCAGGGCCCGAACCGAGTCAAAAACTTGCTGAAGCCGCGCGGCATCGCATGCATCGCCGAGGCCACCAGGATCGCAGGGCAGCGGGAAAGGATCTCCATGCCGACGATCGCGTGACCGGATGCCTCCTGAGCCGGAGGCGGCAAGCCCACGTACGTGACGGCTGCGGGGGGGCTCTCTCGGCGCCCGGGCTGCCAGCGCCGGCGCCCCCGCAGCCCGGAGGGAGGTCATCCCTCCTCGCCGGCGCCGCCACCAGCGCCGGCTGCTCCTCCCTTCGGCTTCTTCGGGCGCCTCTTCGGGTTGGTGGGGTCGGAGCTGTCGCCGCCCTTGCCGTCGCCCTTGCGCACCTGCTTCTGCTCCTCGCGGTAGAGCCGCTCCTGCTTCCAGATCGTCGCGCGCTCCTTGAGTCTGTCCGTGACCCACGTGTTGAACCTCGACGTTGAAGCACGCCCCGCGGCGTTCACGGGCGCGGAGATCACGATGTCCAATCCACTGTAGTCGGGATGGCGCGGGTTGCGCTCTACGGCGATCTCCGTCTGGATCATCCAGCGGACCAGCAGCTCGGCGGATGCTAGCATAGAGAGATCCACCTGGTCCCACGAGTGCATGAGTCGAATCACTTCACACAAGTTCCGATGTACGTGGTTGACCGCTGACCCCTCGCCAACTCCGCTGAGTCGCTCCCACTCGGCCTGGTACGATGTCATGTTACCAGGGCCCGCCGCGACACTGTCCAGGAACTCCTTGACGCTCTTGACGCCTGCCAGCGGGAAGTTCGGCTGGTCCGTGTCCCGCATCAACGCCACCGCCTCCGACAATCGCAGGCTCCTCATGCCGGCCTCGTCGCGGTGGTCGCCCAGAGTGCGCACGTCGCCGAAGTCCG